TCTTGATATGCCCCATGAACTTTTTGTGTACAGCCCCTAGATCTGTGATGGCGAACCTATGGCATGCCAGAGGTAGCACATAGAGCCCTCTCTCTGAACATGTGAGCCATTGCCACAGCTCATTTTTGCTGAGCATGCATGCGTCTGCTTCTCGCTGGCCAATTGGTCTTCGGGTCTCTGTCATGCATGTGCAGGGCTTGCACGGGGACATGTATGCATGCATGGGAGGGATGAAGCACACATGCGGGGGTCATGCATGCATGCGTGGGGGTGGGGCGCATGCATGGGGCATGGTCTATCCTCGGGATAGCCGAGCATTGCATTTTGGGAGTGTGCGCATGCACGCTTTGGTGTCGAAAAGGTTAGCCATCACTGCCCTAGATCTTTCCTCCAAAGCTGGGGTATTATGGATGGAGCCTCGGTGGCGCAATGGGTAGAGTGCAATACTGCAAGCTACTCCTACTGCAATTTGGCAGATCTAACCCCACCAGGCACAAGATTGACTCAGCCTTCCATCCTTCTGAGGTGGGTAAAATGAGGACCCAGATTGTTGGGGGCAATAGGCTGACTCTGTAAACCACTTAGAGAGGGCTGTAAAGCACTATAAAGCGCTATATAAGTCTAAGTGCTATTGCTATTATTCTTTTTAATATGATAAAAAGTCAATTTAATTTTTAAATCTTGCCTTATTTTGCCACTAATTTGTCCTATTCTCTACTCTTCATATTTTGGAGGACAGCCTGCACTTGAACTCGAGGGTGAAGGTATGACCTTTTCTCCCATCAAATTATGCAGAACTCCAGGCTATAGGGCTAATAAGAAAATTTGATCTAATCATGGATTAGATATATAGGCTATGGACCTTTTTTCAGAGGAATGTACAATAGCCTGGTATCAAAATATAATTTCAATTAATCAAGATAATCACAAGACCATACATCTAAGTTCCTTATTTAGCCATCTCCTGCCTGTTGGTGCAAGATGAACAGATCTATCAATATGGAATCATAATAATAAGGAACAAAAGAACTAAAAATAATTAAAACTAAGAAACTAAATTATGGAACTAAAACTAAGGAGCTAACTAGAAGTTAGAAAAAACGAATGGTTTAGAGTCAAGTTGTATGATCTTTAGTTGAAATGATTGTGATTGTTGGTTGACCTTGTAACTGGCTAACGGACAACAGATTAACAAAAAGGAATGAAAGGGTTTAGATGGAAAGATAAGGATTGGAAAGAATGTGGCCAATCCATTTTTGGGTTGTGAATCCCAGCACTCATACCCAAGGGCCAAAAATTATACTACCGTAGAGACTGTGGCAGGTCTCCCAGGCATCAAATAGGGAAATTATAAAAGACAGACTTGTCAGAGATAGTCGACTTTCCAACACTCAAAAATAGGAAATTCAAATGGCAAACAGGATATTTGAAACATTCAAAAATTGTTTGTGAATTGAATAATTTCTGCAATAAAGACCTAATGTAATTTTCTAAATCATAGTAAAACTAAGGAAGGCTGACGGCTACCTGCCTGAGTAGATGCCACAGAAATGTCATTGTAGTTATAAGCGTCCTGATTATTGGATTTATTCAATTTTGGTGGAAAAATAACTAATGTAAGAAAATCCTTATAGTAAGTAATAGTCAAGGAATGATAAGAACAACACACCCTTTGCAAGCAAGATTTTAGAGCGGATAAGAAGGCAAAGGTAACACCCGGCTGAGTCACAGAAATGATCTGTTACAGAGAGCATTTGTCTTTGACTTCCAGGAATTTTTGTCAACTTTCCAGTCTAGCCTGTAGTCCTAGTATTAAGCCAGGTCAACAATTCCTCGTTTCTGGTTGCTCTGACATCTGTAGTTATGAAAACGTTCAAAAAGTTAGTGCTGGCTCACCTGGAAATTTTCACGGATCTGCTGATAGACCTCTTGCAAATTGCCTTCCAAATAGATCGGCAGATGCTGCTGTTAATATTGAACTGCACTACATCTTACAACATCTTGAATCTCCAAGGGCCTTTGCCAGGCTCCTTTTTGTAGACTTCAGCCCGGCATTCAAAACCATCATTCCGGATATTCTTCTCACTAAACTGACTCAGCTAGCTGTGCCTGACCACACCTGTAAGTGGATTATAAGCTTTCTAACAGATAAGAAGCATCAGGTGATGCCTGTACAATTAGCACAGGTAGTCCCCAGGGCTATGTGCTCTCTCCATTACTCTTCTCTCTCTATACCAATGACTGCATTTCAAAGGATCCCTCTGTTAAAGTACTGAAGTTTGCAGATGATACAACAGTCATTGGTCTCACTTGAGATGACGATGAATCTCCATACAGATTGGAAGTTGAACAACTGGCCCTGTGGTGCAGGCAGTACAATCATGAACTGAACACACTCAAAACTGTAGAAATTATAATGTATTTTAGGAGGAGTCCTTCTATTCTACCACCTCTTACAATACTAAACACAATACCAACAATAGAGACCATCAAGGTTCTGGGTTCTGTAATCTCCCAGGACTTGAAATGGACACCTAACATCAAAAACGTCATCAAAATACCACAGTAAAGAATGTTCTTTCTGCACCAATTCAAAAACCTCAAACTGCCCAAGAAGCTGCTGATATAATTCTAAAGAGGCATTGTTGAGTCTGTCATTTGTACCTCTATAACTGTTTGTCTTAGGCACTGGAGACAAAAATTTTGTGTGTCCAATTCCACTTGGACAATAAAGAATTCTGTTCTGTTCTACCCTATTCTATTTTATCCTTCTAAGATTATCTAAAGTTGGTTACTTGTTGACACCTACTTAAGTACTCCAAACCAATTTTTAGTTTATTTATTTTTTATACTTTAAAGTCTGTAATTCCTGAGACTGCCTGGACAAATTCCTGCAGTTTTGGGGGCAAGATTTCAGAAATGATTTGCCTTTGTCCCCCTTCCTATGGCTGAGAAAGAATGAGAAAGACAAATCCATAAGGTTTTAAATGTAAGAATAGATGCTAAGATCTCACATTGTAGGATATCCTTTATATGTTAAAGAGGGCCCCATGTGAAGGATGGGACGTGTAATGGCATCTCAATATTGTTCATATTTTATGAAAACAGTATCTACCAACTTCGATGACCCTGAAAAAGCCAAGCAGGATCATATCAGGAAATCTTGGGGGGATGATGGTGCAGGCAAGATTAGAAGTTGAAAATAGCCAAGATATAATGGGCAAACCTGCCCAGTTGCCAATTATGTGGACATGTTTGTGAAATCATAGGCAACTCAAGGAAGCTCTTAAGCTTCTGTTGTGTAAATAGCTCAACATAGACAAGAAAACTGTATGCAAGAGGAAGATTTATTTATTTAGTTATGAGATTGGCATAGCCACCCAACTCAAATAGTTGCAATTCTGGGCATTGTATACTAAACAAAATTAAAATCATAATTATAAATAGGTGCTCAGCAATCCACATAATACATTAGAATGCTCTACCTGGGCACTCCAAAGGTAAGCAGCTATGCCACAACCTAGGAAGGAACGTCAGCCATACTTTTTGGCAGTTACTCCTGTTATGTTAAAAATTGGTTCATTTCCACATTTCAGCATTACTTGCCCCAATATTGTTTTTCCCATAGCTAAAGGAAATGAATGATTGAAAAGTAGAATTATATTTTTAGCAATGGAAGACAATGATACTACCTCTCCACCTTCCACATCCCGAACAAAGATATTTTTTTAATTATGAAATAATTTTATTTCAGGATTTTTCACACATGCTCCTGTGAAATTAAAATATAGATTCATTAAAAAGATATCGAAGGTCTAATAAAAGATCAAAGGCTTGGATAGTCATGGTATTCTTCCTCCCTGTGGGTCTTTTAATGCTGATGATTGCTGATTATTGTCACAGAGCTTACACAATAGATTTGAAAAGATACTTGGAAACATACAATAGGGGCTATTGAAGATTTAACTGTGGAAAAATACAAGCAGCACACAACAGTGTAATGAAAGAGTAAACATGTGACTATTTCAAATGCCCCACCATGCATGACAATCAAGTTTTACTGTGCCAAGGTGAATGTTTTTCTAATCTACTTGTGTCTGTGGAAGACTATGAGTCAGTATGCAGCTCTCACATTTCCCTCCACATGACTGCAAAATGTTGATAATGGTCCTCTAAGTAGGCATGCAGGTTTGTTTTAGTTCTATCTAATCCCATATTGGTCACCAAGCCAGCTTGATGACCTTGGGCTAATCACTTTCTGTCAGCCTAGGTGGGAGACACTGGGAAACCACTTCTGAGAGAACCAGCTTTCATCCCTAATGTGGGACTAGAAGTCATTGTCTCCCTGTTTCAGTCTGGTGCCTTAACCACTAGTTCAAATTCTTTCTTTCTTTCTTTTTCTTTCTTTCTTTCTTTTTCTTTTTCTTTCTTTTCTTTCTTTCTCTCTCTCTCTCTTCCCCCCCCAATATGAATAAAGAATTTTAGAGTGATAATTAATCCATGGTGTACTAGTACCCAATCACATCTACTATGTGTTACATACTTCACAATGAAGAGCTTTCTAACCTCCTATAATTATGGTGACCATATTTTCTTGGAAAAAAGTAAAGGACAACCTGAAAAAGGGGCAAATCTGAAAAGCAGTTCGTAATAGTGAAAAATCTAATTGTTTATATTTGTACCTTTTCTTCACAAAGGAAAATTCAACAGCTAATTCAAGAAAAAAACTGTGCAAAAACCCATATCGTAGCATAAATATGTAAAGTCAAAGAGTATGTGTACATTTGTTTTAAAAAGACAGTTCAATTTCAGAATCCTTCACATGAACGGGAACGACTGCATTAAGTAGTACCCTGTATACTGTAAAAGTTAAATGGCAAAAATAAAGGGCAAATGTTGCTTTTGGAGAAACAAATAAATCTAAAAGACTGCTTTCTAAAAGACAGGACTATTCTTTATAATAAAGGACATGGTCACTATACCTATCATATACAGCTTGGCTCTATAAATCCCCCTCTACCGCTGATTTCACCCAGATAGGCCTCTGAACGCGAGAACTCCAGGCATCCGCAGGTCGCCGTTTAGCGAACTTCTCAGCGGAGTGGTGCCGGGCCAGGTGACAGCGAACCTGCAGGTATGCGATTCGACAAAAGGGACAGGTGAGGCAGGGGCGGGGCGGTCTCGTCGCGCGTGGCGGGCGGTGCAGGTGGCAATTCCGAGCGTCCCTCGCCTTCCTTTTCTTCGCGGACTGGGGAGCAACTATCGGGAGGAGGGTGGGAGGAGTCGGTGTGCAGAGTAACGCAACGCGGCGCAGCCCAGATACCCGGGCGGCCGTGCAAGGCCCCGAGACCGGAGTCCCCGCCGCATCCCTGCAAGAACTAGGAAGGGAGGCAGAGAGAGGCGCTTGCCTCGCCTTTCCTCCTCCGGAGCAAGCGCAGGGCCTGTTTTGTCCAGAATCGCCGCTGCGTCTGCCGAGGGTGAAAGAAACAGCCTGGCGCTGAAACGGGAACGGAAGACTTGAATGAAGCGCCTGGAGCAAGAATCTCCGTCCATCCGTCGCCCCGACAGGAGATGGCGAGTCATCTGACCTGAAGCGCCCGTGACACCGCTGCTTCTCCTGGGGTACTTTTCAGTGAGTGTTTGAACCGGGATTTTGGTTGCATTTCATTTGCCCCGGTAGCTTTGGAGGCAGAGCTTCGGGGAGTGTGCAGGTTTCTTTCCCCTGTCGCTCTTGAAGCCGGAGCAACAAGCTCACTGCCATTTGATCTCCCAAGCCTGTTTCAATTCCCCTCTTCTCTCCCCCCCGCCCCCAAATAAATTAACTCCTGTTTGAAAGAAGACCCCTTCATGCTCGTCCGTTGCAAAAGATCCTTGCCTGTTTTCTTCCCGGCAGACTTGTCTTTCTGGGTGGGAGAGAGAGAGAGAGAGAGAGAGAGTGTATGCGCGCGGGCCCGCGTGTGTTTTGTTTGTGTCTTGGATTCGTGGGCGGCGGTGACGTTATGCCGCTACATCTTCCAACTGTGATGTGTTGCTTACAAAGTACTTCTTGCAACCGTTTGGGATAATGAAGAATCTGACAGCCCACAGAGTAAATACGGGGAAACGGGGGAAACCCTCGTTTTCCTTTGGGCGATTTGGTCTGCTGGACTGAGCGGAGAACCCAGCCTCAGCGGATGAACCCTTCTTTCCCTCAGCTTCGCCGTGACGGGTCCCGAACAACTTAGTGGAAATCAGAATTTAGAGGTGAGAACTGCAAGGAGGCTTTGCGATCACACTGGCGGGCATGTTGGAGGAAATCCTTTCGAAGTGTCGTTTGCATAGTATGATTTACTGCTTCTCAGAGCTGTGATAATTTCTGCCCAGAATAGTACTATAAGAGAAGGACTTCTTGAATGACCCTGGTGGAGATGAGCGATGTAGCCTTGGTAGGAATTTTTCCTTCATCGTTCTTCCTTTTAGTTCATTAGCCACAGAAATGCCTCCTGACAAGTCTCTGCAGTTTTCTTATCAAAATTTTAGAAGTGGATTGCCATTGTTGTCTTCACAGAACTGAGAGAGAGATTCGGCTGACGCTTAGAACTCGCAGTATCTGATTTCTAGCTCTGTGCCTTAAGTACTACACTAAACTGGCCTTGGAAATTCAATGATGGGTGCTTGGTGACAGGTAAAAGGATAAGAGTTGTTCCTTCCAACAAAATCCAAAGTGAGGGTAATTTAAACAATTGTAAATGGCTGTTGGTGTGTTTTGGGGAACAACTTAAAGACAATGAAGTGATCTCAGCTAGTTAGGCATCCAACCTAGTATTGGAAATAAGTTGCCACCAAAGGGGTGGATTTTTGCTGAGAGGCAGGATCAGTTCATGTACTCCTGTTTGTTTTGTTGTTATCTGTATTAGAACCGAGTTGGTTCAAAAATCTAGCTCCTGAGAAAATGAATTCCTTTTAATAACCTGCGATGTTTGGGGATTTGGGGGATTTTAAAAAAATATTGGGTTGGGATATTACACTTTTTTTAAAGAAAAGAATAACTTGGAGGTTTACTCATGTACAGAAAAGCAATTTATTCATCCTATTAGTTAAATACAGTTATACTGTTCCACTCTTTTACGATTGTAGAAAACTACTGCTAATTTTTTTGACTGACTTCTAGTAATTTTTTGTCCTTTAGTATATAGCAATAGCAATAGCACTTAGACTTATATACAGCTATATAGTGCTTTACAGCCCTTCCTAAGCAATTTTACAGTTAGCATATTGCCCCCAACAATCTGGGTCCTCATTTTACCCACCTTGAAAGGATGGAAGGCTGAGTCAACCTTGAATCTGATGGGGTTTGGACTGCCAGGCAGACGGTAGTCAGCAGAAGTGGCCTGCAGTACAACACTCCAACCACTGCGTCACTGAGGCTCTATATAATCTAAACCTGAGTTCCTGTTTGGTCCTGAATCTCTTATAGCTTATTTATTACTTTAATTTATGGTATATCTTGCCTTTATTTTGTAGGTCAATGTGTCATACATACTGTAGGGTTCCCTCATTCTGTTTTTCCCCACAACAATCCATGAATTAGGGTCATCTAGGATGTGTGACTGTTCCAAAGTTACTTAGGAAACTTCTAGATTTGACGATAGACTAGGATCTGGTTCCCACTCATAATCCATCCCCTCAACTACTATGCCACAGTTCAGCTTGGATTAATTTTTGACTTTCCAATGTAAACATAATTATTGTTGGACGAAGTGGTTGTTAGACATAGAATACATGAAGCTATATTCTATATGCTTGTCTCAATTACCCAACAAGTGACTGAATAATAAGAAGTAAAATTAGAGGAAGAACATGGAACTTTGTTGGAAGTTGAACATTTTGGGAACTGAAATTCTAAACATCTGGAAAGATACTAGCTTGGGAAATGGGACTCCCTATTCAGTACAATACAAAATTATATTCATCCAAATGAGAATTTTTCTTCTTGTGGTTGGGCAGGTTTTGGACAATAGGCATAGAGTTTGGCTTGGATATTAAGAGTTTCTTAATTCTTGAAAATTCTGCCATATTCTTTAAAATTCTGTAAAACTTCTGGAATAGGATTTTCCCCACTATAAACAATTACCAGATAATATTGTTTATAAAAATCTTTGTAAAGAATGCTGAGGTTTTACCATAGCAAATCAGTTGCTTTCTTGGTAGAGTGGGTCTATGCTGAGGTAGGAGAGTTGGTGTAGTGGTTAAGGCACCAGGCTAGAAAATGCAAGTGTGTAAATTCTAATTGTGCCTTGGACACAAAGCAAGCTGCGTGACCTTGAGCTAGTCACTTTTCCTTAGCTCTAGGAAGCAGGCAAGGGCAAACCACTTCTGAAAACTTTGCCAAGATAGTTTCAGATATTAGTTCAGGGAGTTGCCAGGAATTAATAATGACTCAACATGATAGAGAGATATATAGAGATAAATAATAGATTAGGTTAAATTAGATTAGAATAGATAAAGAGGGAGAGGGAGGGAGAGAGATAAAAAGTAAAGTTGAGATTGAGAGCATGCTTATTAAAGGTTAGATACTTTGCTTCCCATTTGCTAGCTATACTGGTTCTGCATACAGTATAGACCTCGCCTTCCTGTTCTCTGGAGGCTCAGAATGAGTTTTACATAATCCTGTGATGAAATACAATGGTAAGTGAACCGTTGCTCTCATTTGTATTTTTCACAACCCCTCTTTTTTTTACACCTGTTTTCTTGTATTTTTCAGAATCCTTCCCCACCCCCAGTTCTTGGGGTCATTTATATTTGTTTTGTTTTCTTTTTGTTCTATTAAAAGGGATGAACTTCTGTGAAAAATCTCTTCAGCACTACTTCATCATGTTCACATTCCCTGTCTCCCCAGAGGGTATTTAATTGATATACACTACACTTAATCTTTGCTAAAAGACTGAGAAGCAATATAATCTTTATGAGCATATTTTCTTGCTATATGAAAGAAAAACCATACATTTTGTAATGAGCATGTTTGAGTCATCTGTCTACTTGTGTTTCTTTTCTGAGCTACATAGGGGAAGGTTGATTCTTTCCTCAGCTGCACGAGGTGCTGGGCTTTTCCTTATTTCTTTTGCTGAAGTTTCAGTGGCTGAATGATGAAATATCATTGACACAATTTCCCATCACACTGAGGTTGTTTCTTACAGAATTATAAAAAATGTCCTAAAATAAGCTGATTTTTAAAATAATCATACATCTAGAAAAAAACAAATGGAAAGCTCCATCCTCAGTGCTACGTGGTGGCATTAATTATCAGAATGTTTCCCAACGCTGTTCACAGTCTAGGATTTGATTATTGAACAACAAAACAGGTAAGTTGTTTTCATTTGTTTGGCAAATTCCAGCTCACTGATTACACAAGGTATGTGTTCAAAAACAAAGTTAGTCAATAGAGTGAAATAATTCTAGTTAGATTGAAGGAAATATATGCAATCTGTTTCTCCTTTTGGGGGAATAGAATATGAATTGAGACACTTGTTATATTCCCTGATCAGGAGACTCAGCTTACAAAACTGAATCCATCAGGGCATTTTTATTGGCCTCCTGGTGACACTACTAAACATTAAGCAGGGTTTTACTATATAAGAACAATGCTCTTTTTCACTCAAAAGGAAGCAAGACGTTATTGTAGCTGGAGGTTGCCACCCTATATTCAAAATGTAAAGAGAGATGCAATTTATTGTTCTTGGATTGACAATTCATCATAAATTAATATTTTTTTAATTGTTGGATTGTTTTTATATTGTTTTATAGCTTTTTATTGTATGTCTCTCAGAATCTGATGGGCATATAAGTAGGATGACTAAATAAAGAGTAGGTGTCTAAATATTTAGCACCTGAGCATCTGTGTGCCGATGTTGGAGAACAGCTGTCCCAGTCGGGAGGAGGGTTCAAGCAGGGAATTAGCCTGGACTCATTACATAAAAACAAGAGGGCAATGTCTGACATCTCCTGAATTTCTTTGAGCCTTATCTAATCTTTCCCAGGCAAAGCCGCCAGCCTGGAGAGTTTCTTTTGAAATAGGCAGTGAACAATAAAGTAGCTAGTTTGAAGAACTCTATATGTGTAGGTCTGGTTTGTTTACACCTGACAACCCATAACTGTTAGGTTTTTATTGCTGGTTGCTAGGATAGTGAGGAGTCTTGAAGGGGTACTTTGCTTAGCTTGAAGCAACCATTCAAAGCTTATTTACTGTTTGAATCTCTTGATGTTTACCAAATGTGTGACAGGAGCTATTTCAAGGGCTTTTTAACTATGTCCATAGCTGCAGAAGTAAAATAGATATCTGAAGCAAAGCAAACAATATTGAGAGAGAATATCTTCCTGTTTCAAACAGAGCCACTACTACTAATTGAATCCATCTTTTAGGCCAGTTTATGATGGCCTTGCAAAACAAGCACTCTTAAGTCTATTGGACAGTGGAATCACTATTATGTAACCTAGACGCTTGTGTGAAAGGCAAATCTGGAAATATCCTTCTGCATGTTAATTATTGAAATGACCCATGTATAATTGAGTGGTCATTGTCATTCAGATTCTGTTTTCAGGTGTCTGTGTGTACTTCTGATTGAAGGTATCTGCATATATAGAAAAGGGGCAGAGCATAAACAGTTCAAATTGACTTTATTTTTCAAATCTAAATAAATACATAGAAAAAAATCATCAGCTTGTTCAGTTTGCTATGGATATTATTTTAGTCATGTCTATATTACTGATTTGAGTGACACAAAAATATTTAGAAGTCCTTCTCTGGAAATTTTTTTTAATTAAAATATTTGTGGTGGCTTATATATAAAAAGAAGAAATAGAGGAAAGCATTCGTTACCTGAATTCAAATTTATTTTTCTCTATTTTAAAAGTAGGAGAGAAAAGTATTCCAGATGCCAATTATAAAAATAGAGAAGTGGTAGCTGGAAATTTTGGGAACAGTTTAAAAATTAAAAATGGATAAATTCTGAGCCACAAACATTAGCATTCAGAATCTATAGAAAAAAAGAGAAGAGTGAATGATTATGAGCTGCATTACTGTCCCTCCTTCTAATTAGCATGGATGATAGCATGAAAATGTGTTGAAGGGACACAGTTTGTACAAATATAGAACTCTTTTTATGTAGAATGTTAATAATGTTCATTATGAAATAATTTTGCAGGAATGAAAAATCAACATGTGTTTATTTAGAACCTCTATTTTATTGTGGTAAAAAAGGGTACTTGAAGAGATATTTAAAAAAAAACTCAAGATTTTTAAAAAATTCCCACACACTCCTAATTATGTACACCAGACAGTATCCTTTCCTGGCTGCTTTTTTTTTTTTTGCATTTGAGTTACCAGGCAACTTGCATACAAATGCTGTTGTTTGGGACTGAGGCTGAAATACATGCCCTCTAAACTGAATATAGCTTTTCAGCAAAATGCTACTCCCACACAGAAAAGAAGAGAATAAAAGCTTTGTGGAATGGAACAGTAAATGCTGACCAAGGATTTTTTTTCTCTGTAATGTTAATTGCCTCTTGCTTTGTTCATCATTGGCACATGACAGCTGAAATTAGGCAAGTTCTTATTTTCCAGTACTGTAGCCTGGAATCTAGCATGAAGGAATCTGTGAGTTTTGTTAACTTTCTCTTATTTTCTATTCATTAAAAAAAGTATTTACAATCCTGGTATTACGATGCTTATTATTAATTACTGTTGTTTACTATTGCTGTAATTGAAATTTGTGTAACTGGAAAATTCATCTTGCTGGTCCAGAAATTACAGACCAAAGAGCATAAGGAAGTTTGGTTGCTTCAGGAATAAATAAAATATTTCATAGGAAGGAAAGAAGGAAGGAAGGAGGGAGGGAGGGAAAGAAAAAAGACATACCTGGAATCATGTTAAGATAAGCTCAGATATATTTATTTACTGTAAGGTGGAAGAAGTTGTACCTGTTGGTAGACTCCAGCTTTCTTCAGCTTACTGAGTGAGGATCGCTAGAGTCAAGTTGACAGGAGGAGTTCAAAGCCAGTTACATATGAAGAAACACATCTTAACCACCATTAGGCTATAGAAGTATATAAAACTGATAATGGATAAACACTCCAGATTTTATGTTATTGAGAAATGTGTTTGATTACCGGTTTGAACAAGTATTTGGTATGCAGTATAATTCAGTAAAAAGTGAAGCCTCAGTCAAGTTGAGCTTGACTTACCTGGAAACATCTGTTCAGTGTTCATGTCATCATGCATTGCCTTCTTTCAAGACTTTTTCCCCTTGACTTCCTACTCTTGCCCAAAGTGGTTTCCCACTCAAATGCTAGCTAGGTAGGCTATTCCTGTGTAGCTTTCTGAATTGGTTAAAGTCTGCCATGTGGTATCACTGCTGATTCAATAGTTACAGAGAGTACTGTATAATAGACAACATATTCTGTTTTAAGTTATTAACTGTAGTAAAAGACTAAAGATAAAAAATAGGTTGGCATAAGAAAAAAATAACTTAGGTAATGGATATTCCTGCTCAGAAAATTACCAAAAAATAGAGTGGAGTTATATTAGTATATTTCTTTAATGTCCGTCAATGTGCTGTGATTGGAAAACTATAGTAAAATGATTCCCTCTGATTGGAAGTAAAATGTCATAGTACAAAGCCAGTTGAGTGACTTTGGAGCAGTCATTCTCTCTTGGCCCAACCCACCTCACCAGGTTGTTGAAGAAAAAGTAAGAGGAGGAAAATGTGTTGGGTATGTTTTCTGTCTGGAGTTATTTGTAAAAATAATAAAATCAAGATTTAAAAAATCACTTTTTTAAAACTTTACCTTAGTGCCTTCCTTTTTGTGAAATCTTGGATCAGAATGCTACACCTTTGTGGCCTGGTCTGTTTTTCTCCTCCATGCGGCTGCAAGAGCCCAGGATGGGTTAGACTCCTCCTGATGACATCTTTAAGCTGAGTCTGTCTAGTATAAAAACACAGAATTGTTAATTGAACTTGGACATCTCTCCGAAACAAGCCATTCGTTAAAGATAGAACTAAGCATAATGCATATTCAGATAAATAAATGTGATATACAGGAACATTTAACTGAAGTGTCTTCAACTTCTTCAACTGTTTATTGTTTTGTCAGAGTGAGAGTACAAAAGAGGGCAAGAGGAAACATGGGAACTCCTTGATTTCAGCCTATCTAGGGTAAACCTAACTATATATAATTTGTTTTATCACACTGGTATTTTGATCATATAAAGAGCTTCATAAGTACATGAGAGAAAAAGAGATGTTCCTTAAAATAAACGCAAGACAGTCTCTGGTTTTTTAAACTCAGCTTTTAATTAGAGTTAACATGATTATTAAAATTCCCTATGGCAATTTTTTAATTTGAAGGGAGATGAGTGTAGCAGATGCAATCCTCTTAATCTGCATTTGAAAGCAAGTCTTCCCAACACTTTAGGAACTTTTAACATGTGGTCAGAATTGCATCCTCTGGGCCAGCCTCAGTATGTTCCCATATATGTATTTAGTAATCATGTCAGTATGTTTTGTTCCCTTCTTAAGATCAACATGGACCAAGTGAACTCATGAGGAGAATGATCAAGGCAAAAATTGTCCCATATGCTGTTATCCAAGAAGAATTTTCCATTGGTGCCAGTAGGTTTTCACGTATGTATATAGATTTGTAAAATTTGTTTTTTAATGCTGAATGAATTAAATTGGCTATATGAAAGGTGATCAGCATTACAAAGCTTTAAAACAAATGGATATAAAAAAATCATTGTGAGATTTCCTTTAATGTAAACAAGTAATACAGTTTTTTTTCCAAATTTTGTTCTATTGTACTTTACTAATTTATTTGATACTTTTTGTTAGTTTTTATTGTTTTTATTGTTTTTACTTTTTGTTTTAAATATGGTGTTACATTGTGTAAGCTACCTTGTGTAAGCTTTAGAAATACAAGAATCTATCCTCCATGCTTGCCACTGAGATATCTGGCAGAGCTATCACTTTGTTTCTGAGACAGTCATATTAGTCATTACTCCAGTCATTACTGACTCTGAGATTCAATACATGGTAGTAACCTATGCATTTTTGGTAAATAGGAAGTACTTGAAAAGTATTTGAAGCAGAAGTTGGCCCTAAAATGTTGAATTCTGCAGTGATTAACTTGTACTGAATGTACTAACTTGACATTTCAAACTTCATATGTTGTTTCATTTTAGCTATCACCAAACTTGTTTTTGACATTTAGGAATGCAGAATTATTTTGGATAATTATTACATAATTACCACTATGATACCATTATAATTATTATGTAAGAATGGGAGATTGATGATATAATACCCTATTATCTTTTGGAAGTAATTTTTTGGTGTGGAGGTGGAAATTATTTGAAGTTACTGTGTTTGAAGACCCTTTATACCTCTATACTCGACTCTTTCTCTGGCATTATTTTCTCATGGAAATAATTTTAGTTGTGTTTTCCCTGAATCAAAATTTAGAAACAACTAAGCTGTGGTTCCTTTTTTTATTTTTTTTGGTGGAACAGTCACAAATGTAAATGGTAATGATTTTTTGAAATTTTGTTTCTTAAAATTGTGGGCTTAAATTATACACTTCCCAAATACATTAATTTTACAGTGGTTGTAATAAATCCAAATATTCTTTTTGGAATCATAACTTTAAAAAATGGAATAACAATGTTAATTTTGATCAATAAGTGGAAATCAACTTGTAAAAAGCAAGGCAGCTTGACTGTTCAGTAAGATCCATTTATGTTCATTTAAGATACAAGTCTGTAATACAACACAACATGAAAGAGACCATAAGCATCATTTCTTTTTCTTTTTTTAAATGGAAGCTGGGAATGTAGTTTTTGAATCCTTATTGAGTCCCATTATACCATCCTTATTGCCACCTTGTTTCTTCAGTTGTTTGTCCAAATGGCTTGACTTTGATAGTTTCTCTAAACATGGTGACATATAGAGATTGTAAATATTTGCCTCTGTATTCTTAATTTTCCTTCTTATTAATCATGTTCACATTCTTATCACTTCAGGAATCATCTAAATGATGACAGCTATTCTGGAACGGATCAGCACTTTGTCCATCAGTGGACAACAACTCCGTCGACTTCCTCAGTTCCTAGAAGAAGGATTTCCCAAGATGCCTTGCACAGTTAAGGAATGCGATGTGCCCCAACTTTTCAGAGAACCCTATATCCAAGCTGGCTATCGGCCCACAGGTCAACATTGGCGCTATTATTTCCTCAGCCTCTTCCAAAAACATAATGAAGTTGTTAATGTTTGGACTCATCTTCTGGCTGCTTTGGCCGTGGTGCTGAGATTTAATGCATTTGCTGAAGCAGAGGACTTGTCTCTGGAGATCCACTCCTTACCTCTCTTCATTTTTGTCCTTTCCTCCGTTACATATCTGACATGTAGCCTCTTAGCTCATCTCTTGCAATCCAAGTCAGAGATATCACATTATACTTTCTATTTTGTGGATTATGTTGGAGTCAGCATCTACCAATATGGAAGCGCCCTGGCCCATTTCTACTACAGTTCCGATCAAGCCTGGTATGACAAATTTTGGCTTTTCTTCTTGCCAGCAGCTGCTTTCTGTGGATGGCTCTCATGTGCTGGCTGTTGCTATGCCAAGTACCGCTACCGGCGCCCCTATCCCATCATGAGGAAAGTGTGTCAGGTGATCCCAGCGGGATTGGCATTTATCTTGGACATCAGTCCTGTGGCCCACCGTGTGATTATGTGCCATCTTGAAGGCTGTGAGGAATTGGCTGCTTGGTATCACACCTTCCAGATACTTTTCTTCCTAGTTAGTGCTTATTTCTTTTCTTGTCCAGTTCCTGAAAAGTATTTCCCTGGGTCCTGTGATATTGTTGGGCATGCCCATCAAATTTTTCACACCTTCCTTGCTATTTGCACACTCTCACAATTGGAAGCCATCTTCTTGGATTACAAGACCAGGCAAGAAATCTTATTCAAGCGACATGGATCTCTCTCCATCATCCTGTCTTGTGGCTCCTTTTTTGGCTTAGTTGCTTGCAGTGCTATCACTGCACTCCTATTGCAGCGCAAAATCAAGGAGGAACTGGCCATGAAGGCATCCTGAGAGATTGACATAGAAACAGGGCTCAGTCCTGATGTGCTTGAAGAAAAGTAGGAAGAGGGAAGTTTATTCAAGTACTGTATATAAGTAAATTAACCTAGTAGTTTTACTTTATAAATTATAATCAAGGAATTGATTATAGGCAGGCACTAATTTATTAAATATGCCTTATTCCCTAAACGTTTTTACTAACAGTACCTATTGCTGGGCAAAGGGCATTTGGGATACTTAATTGAAGAGTTATAAAGGCAGATTTTTCTAAATGATCTTATTTTTATTTATTTACAGAAATTTGTATTATATGAAAGAGGATATTAATGACTAACTAGAAGAGTAAAGGATTGCTATAGACTTGCACATTTATAAAGCTCTTATCACATTGGGAAATTGGAATTGTGTCTGGGATAGGGTCACAGAAGAGAAAAAGATTCCTTCACAAATTGGGTCAAAGTCTCTAATTTAGTTTATATGTTGGAATTTTTTTCAAGTTAAATCCTAAGACTCATTATTTGCAGTCTGAAATGGTACAGAATAGTCATAGGTTTACTTCAATGATGATTAGAGCAAAGATTGTGGTGAAGGTTGACATAATGTTGATAATCTCATTTGGTCCGTTTTATTTTAGCTGTGGCCTTGATACCATTGATAACCATACAGCTCAAGTAGTACTAAATCTTCCCCTGAGTTGTAAGCTTCAGAAATAGTATAGTGGTAGAATAACAGTCATAATTTGGTAGCTGTCACCTATTAATCATTCAAGCCCAGGTTAGCTGAAGCAGAGAAGGGTAAAATTCTCAAAAATAGCAGAAGTTACTAGCCTCTCCATGAGTTGTTTTATGATGTTGATGCAGATCTAATCATCTGAAAACACAGGACACAAATAGCACTATCATTATTATCAAAATAGCATGCTATTTCAAGGTTTATAGAGCCGCTCAAAGGCACTTATTTTACCATTTTAACACTGATTAGAAGCTATGACTATAAATAGAACTAGTGTTTTTCATGTTTGTTGTCTATAAAGTCTCTTTTCTTCCTAATTCATTTCTGCATGCCTTCACTCATATTATTGTCAAAATGTTAGTTTTTCTGGTCCCTTCTTGATTTTAGGTATCATCATGTCACTCAAACAAAGCCATTCAGGACTTTTACAACCTGAATGTTATTCTGACAGCCAAGATAAGGGTACAGTACTTCTTCCCTATTGAACACCAAGTTAAATAATTAGAGAAGGAGCAGATTGATTGTAAAAAAGTATTACATGGACAAGTACCATGCCATAGTACCGGCAACACATTTTCCTGAACAGTTTATTTGTGCTTTTCATCAGTAGGGGTCCAGTTGGGTTGTGCTTTGAGTCCCGTGTGGCATTTAACTACTAAACTTTTATTTCCTCTCTTCCAAACACAAACACCATACCCAAACAGAAATTGCAGCTGCGGAATGTTTTATTTATTTACTGTTGTTTCCTGTGAAATGTTCTTTGCACATAGCAGACCAGCGTATAATTGAAAGGTGTGTGCCAAACTTGGTTTCTGATGGTGCTGGGAAACGGGAATCATTTTGCATGTTGTGGACATACATGACAATGGGTAACCCCATTTGCAGTCTGGCAATGGTACACTCAGAATTCTAATTATAGTTTCCCATACAAAGACAAGTGCAATCCAATCTGGTTTCAACAAAAATCATTAATAATACAAATGTTTAAGTATTAGAAATGGATTCAGTCACAAGAAATTTAAACCATTTTCTGCCAACATAAACACTGAATTTTTTTGTTAAGACTACATAAACCGGGAGTGTGAAACTCACAGCATCACATGACGTATCATGACTTTTTTCTCCTGGGCAGGGGCATGGCCAGCACACGACACATCCAGCCCACAGGCCATGAGTTTGACAACCTTGATATAAACTATAGGAAGAAAATGACATAAGTCCATCATTTAAATCTGATGGGCTACATGTAACTTCTTAGTGACTTTATACCACCACCTAGTGGAATAATCAACTAATATTTTTCTAATAGCTGGAATGGCTTTGAGAATTTTACTTAGGTTGTTACTCAGCAGAGATAGTTTTCATTAAGTCAATAAACAGAGTGTCTCCCCCCCCCCCGTAGAACATACGTTATTCTTACTATGAACGAATTTGCATTATTTTATGTGACTTCATAAGTGATATCTTTGTTTCACAACGGTTCTCATTAAACATGTATCTGTAACTTGGTTGCTTACAAGGTGACATTAAAAATTTTAAGCGACTCTAATTTAATCCATTGTAAAATGTGTATTATAACCAGCATTAGTCAAAACTGCAGAGATCCCTCAAATATAATTTTAAATCTGCAAGCACTCTCAGAATGTATTTAAGAAAAAATCTGTGTACTAAGTTTCTTGAAATTGTCCTTCAGACTTTTTCATATATCTGATAATTTCCAGAACCTTTTACTGCTAGTTCTGTATATACCTGTGTTGGTGAACCTATGGCATGCATGCCGGAAGTGGCACGCTGAACCATCTCGGCCGGCACACGAGAGCTCGCCCGGAAGAGCCCCACTGTGCATGTGCACACATCGCTGCCACCCAACAGCTATCAGCACCCAACGGGTATCTGGCGCACATGCATGGGGGTGTGGGAGATGTGTGCATGCTCAGAGATGCGCAGCGTGCAAGGGTCAAATGCACATGCACAGGTGTGGGGGCCCCCAGCACGCATTGCCTTCTGGGTACTGGCACGCGAGCGCAACTGCAGGAGCGCGTGCCTAATTATCAGCACGGGAGCTGGAAAAGGTTAGCCACCACTGATATATACAGGTGAATGTGTTGTTATTAGAAACAAATTGATGAATAAAAGGACTGTTTTTTAGCACACATTTCAAAGACTTGGTTCAGAATGTATAAGAAGAGCACCTTTTCAAATAGTTAAAGCAGCCATATCTTGAAAAAGGTCCATGCAGCTATTTCAGGAGCTAATCCTGACTGATTTTGCACACTTATGCTTGCACAACTACTTTCCTTTGTTTCCTCCGCCAGTGATGCAGAGATCACATAAAGCACTCCTGAAGCAGCCACATTCCATTTTGAGAGAATTTAAGACAGCTTTGCTGGTTTTATTTTACAGCTACATGGATCTAAAGCAACTTTTTTCTAATTATTGCTTTTTCATTCCAAAGTGGTGTGATCTGGCTGGTTTTTAGATTCTGGCAGTTGAAATCTAGAATATGCAGAGAACAGTAGGTTGGGCAAGGCTAGTCTAGTTTTAATGACAAAAATTGCAGATACAAATCCAATTTATTATTATGAACATTTTTAAAAATAAAACTAGCCCTTGCTCTCTGCAGGCTCATGCCTATTTTGCAGTTGTTAACTTCAGTTTTATTCAGATTTGACATCCAAACATTGTGGTAGCAGGCTTACATGTTATTTCCAATACTTCAAATAATATGTGATGTTTTCAAGTGTGCCTTGGATGTTTATATCTTTCAGAGGCAGCTTTAAAAAGATATATTTTAAGATAGGCATTATTTGTTACTAAAATGAAATAACAGGGTTTTTTTATTTTCTTTTTTTTAAGTGTTAGTTTTAGAATTATATGAACAACTTCTGTATTAAATTCCTGAAATCTGCATTGTTGAGAACATTTGAAAAACTGTACTGTGTTATAAACTGTTGAAGTGTGGAGTACGAAGAGGATATCTTAAGTAAAGTTTAAGAAATTGATGTTTTATGTGAAATTTGTTTATATCAAGCTGTTTATATATCAAAATATGGCTTCTGTATGATCTGCAAGATTAAGGGAGAGTAAAAAATTGTCTTGGAGAAAACCCTCACCCTTCTGCAGACATGGTCTGTATTTAATGCTTGTAGCATGTTAAAAATGCCATTTTCATTCAAGGTTCTGATAGATGTAATTATTACAACAATGAGTACAAACTAATATATCCCTATTGCACCGTTTCTCCTGTGGAGACCTCAGAAATCAAACTACAATCCATCAGAAAGTGTTAGAATTGAGTAAATATTCAAATGAGCGACAATGATATTTTCCTATTGCATTAAACAATCTCATTGTGTTTTTAATAACAGAATATTATTGTGGCTAAAGCAACCA